GATGAGATGGTATGGTAATCTATGATAGATAATGAAAGATGAGTAGAAAAGGGAGCGGGGAACGAGGGATAGATAATGACGTAGAGAGATGGTGAAAATATATGGGATGAATAGGTAGGAGTAGGAGACTGAGGAGGGAAGGAAGAGAGAGGAGAGATGATGAGAGCATAATATAGAGAGATGAGAGAGGATAGGACGAATAGTAGAGAGAGTAGATAGAGACGAGATACAGTATAGTAATTAGTAGAGAAGAGAGTCAGAATAAGTAAGTATATTCATACATTTAATATAATAATAAAGAGACATCAATATATTGCATATCGGCACAAGGAGTAGGGTAGCAGTCAGAACATCTAAAGGCCAGAATATAGCACTCAGACACGTTGATATATTTTAAGATAAGAGATGTGAAAACGCACTCAAAGTCACTAGGATTAAATAGAGATAGACATGCAACTCTACATAATGAATATACATAAATATATAAAAGCAGAGAACACTAAGATAAGTACTCAGACCGACTACATAGTATAAAGGAGACAGCAACTAATATAGTAAAATACATATCACAGTATCATGACGCTACTAAACACAACGATATATAAGATCACGTATTAATAGAGTAATAATATATAATGATCTATTGCATCATATATAATACTCAGGGGCTGCACTATTTACCCGTTTCTATATATCTTCTGACTACCGGTTGTAGGCGTCTTTGGACAGTAATAGATTACCATTTTTGCCAGCATATTATAGTTAGTGTCTACGCCATTTACTATTTCCAGTTATTTTTCCACCCGTAGTTATTCTTTTCCGGTGCTTCTACCGGTACATCTGTACTCTTTCATATCTGCTCATTTATTATTATCATCTACTTGATTTATCAAAATTAGTTGCCATATATCAATAACTAATATATTATTCTTATTATCTAGTACTATTATTATCATCTTATTTTATATTATTTTCTACTACGTTACTATTTATTTTTATAGTTATATATTATTTATATATTTATATTTTCTATATATTTTATTTTTGTTATCTAGCTCTTCCCTCCTTATTTATACCATTATTTATATCTCGTTTTTACTATATATTATAATATATAATCAACATAATACTATATAGCATATATAGCATTATGATAATCATTATATATACTTATATATATAACTATAGTACATATATATACATATATATATACATTATATAATATACAAATATATATGTACATATATATCTACCCATCTTAATCCTTTAATGCATTCATAGATAGTATTTCTTTGTATATTTTATTTCATTTTCGTCAATATTCTATTTTAACTTACCTCATTTTTATTTACTAAACCTGCGTATATACTATTCATATTATTATTCTTCGATTTTAAATTCTATACTATATGTATCTTATCTCTAATATTATATCTTATATATATTATAGTAGCTTCTCAATATATGTATTGTATATATACGTTATGATCATATTTTTTGTTTATATCTTTATTCTGTTAATATTTACTTTATGTATACCTCTTATCCTTTATCTCTCTGTAATATATATGTACCTATATACTGTTACGCATATAATTTCTACTGTATATCTCTATGTATACTTGTATTTATATCAGTTACTTACCTAGAGACCGTTGTATCAGTTATTATATGTTAGTTATGTTATTTATATATGGGTATGATACTATGTATATGTATTATGTAATATTACTGTATACCCGTGCTACAAGCGGTATATTCGTGTATGAGTAATTGTAGGATAACTATATATGTATAATATGTATATATAGGATGTATATATATATCATTTCATTATAGGGTTAGATGTATAATGGTATACGTTATGATATTTTACAATATATGAACTGTATATTATATTATATTATATTATATATATATATTATATTCTATTTATATATTTTATCATGTATATCATATACTGTATACTATCAGTGATATTCAAGAATGTTAGTATTATGTATATATATCTATATTATATTAATATCACACTGTTAACGTATAATTACCTAATTATTTTTTATAGTATGGCTGTGTACCTATAGTTATATATATTATCATATTTATTATTTATTCTTTCCGTCTTTTATATACTCCTCATCTATTCGGTTCTTCTCATACTACCTTTTTATTTAATACATTTTATGGATTATTATACCTTATTGTTTTTAGGCTTATTAATTAGAATTATTAGTGATAAATATAAATATAGATTTGTCACGAAGTAATATGAAGGATAAGAGAAAGATAACTAAATAGAGTGGTAAGTGGGATAGTGTGATACATTTTATATCGTTATTACGTCTATAGTGCTGATATCGCCTTGACACCTATATATATGTATCGTTCTTATTTGAGTGTTTAATACTCTCTAATTCTTCGTATACCTATTTATCTTTACTGCTTATATGACGTCTGCGGTATGGTAATAAGGGCAGTATCTCGTTATACTTATTACTCGATATTTTTTTGCTCTTATATTATCTTTTGCTTTATCTTCTTATTATTTTGTTATTTTTAGTATTTTCTCGTAACCGTACTTTATTGCTGTTTTTCTGGTATATCTGGTTATTTATGTAATAATTCTCATAGTTAGGTTTGCTAAACTCTAATCTTTCATATCTCAGCCATTGATTCTAGATATGGGATAAGTGTTGAGAACAAAGAGTTTCGGAATTCGTACTCTCGATTCATCTCAGGTTCTCTCGGAGATTTGCTCGATCATCTCCTGTTGTCATCACTTTCATTCAATCAAATCTAGTTGTACATTGTGGTTTTTCTTTCATTTATCACACGCGTATTGTGTTCTTTCCATTGGATATATGTTCTAATCTCCTATCTTATCTCATATCTTATACTCATACTCTCCTCTGGTATTACTATATATGTATCTATATATGTATATTATACTGTTTCTGATATGGTATATATTATGTATATTCTTGTCTTCGTATATTACTATCAATGTTATTCTCTGTATGTATCTCTATATCTCCTACTATCCTCTATATATATATATAATGTATATTCTATAATATTCTCTATCTATCTTTATATATAATATATATTATACTATTATACTCACTATTCTTATTATGTATATATATATGTATAATATATGTGTATTTATACTATATTATATGTTGTATATATATATGTATAATATATTATGTATATTATATGTATATATATATGTATATATATATGTGTATATATATTATATATATATATATTATATTACTCTGTACTGATATCTTATATGTATATATATATGTATTATATATGTATATATATACTGTATATATATATGTATTATATATGTATATTACTATTGTATATATTATGTTATATTATATGTATATTATAGTGTATATGTATTGATGTATATGTTATTGCTATATGTATATATGTTATATATATATTATATATCAATATCTATAATATATTATATATATACTGCTAATATATATATCTAATTATTATTACTTTATATATATATATTATTATATATATATTATTTATATTATTTATTATTTATATAGTAATATTATATTATATATATATATATAACATTTATCTTCTTATGTCTACATATCTTTCTTCTCTCTCCCTCCTGCTCTACTATCTCTCTCTCGTATACCTTATATACCTCTATATCTATACTATATACCTACTATTTATATATATATCATATTTTCCTCCCTATAGATACTTTTCTATATATGTATATATTTGCATTTCCGTATATGTATATAAAATATGGATTATATTATGTAGATGGTTATGTACTGTGTATAATGTTTATGTGCTATATGTTGCACTTATGTGTGTGTGTGTGTGTGTGTGTGTGTGTGTGTGTGTGTGTAGTGTTTATGTAAATGTGAAGAATAACTGCTATAATATTTGCGTGACTCTTGTCCTTATCTAAGGCATAAGAAGAGTGAGATTATTGTGAATACCCAATCAGGCAATCTCGCTGGGTAATTTATGTGGCTGTCGATCTAAAAGTTGTAGTGTCCCCCAAACTTAGTAGTGTTGTCCTAAACAGGTTCGCGACTGGGTAACAGCATATATTAAGATTGAAATACATATCGTTAGTTTTTGTGTTGTGATATTTATCATGAAGATGTTCATGAATTTAGTTTGGCTTGTTTATTGGGATTAAGTAATTGGTGTAAGAAGGGTGCAAATGGATATTTGATACTGGTAATGGTCTTTTTCAAGGGCTAAGAAAGAGATATTGAAAAGGTTCACTTCTAGTAATGGCTGTTTCACGCACAAGAAAAACAAGGGACGTCATTCAGTGGCTTACCCACGCACAAGCACACACACGCTTACCTCCCCATACACACGTTTATATTTTAGTATTTGTAATATTTCTTTCTCTTTTGGGGGAGTATAGCTTCAAAACTAAAAAGACTAAAAAGAGGAAGAAGAGAAAAGAAGAAAGAAAAAGAAAGCAAAGTAAAAAAGAGAGAAAATCTGTAATGGCATTGCTTTCACTTCATTATTTTTTCTTGTATACACTTCTTTGAATGTTATTCTCATTGAAACGCAGAATTATTATTCTCTCCGTGAGTAGGTTTGTTCTTGCAGCGGCATAGCAACATGTGTGGGAGCTTGGATTTCCAAAAAAAAAGTCTAGTGTGAAAAAGTTTTTATCCACGTATTATCAGTATCTTATCAGCTTTTGCTACAAGGTTCCTCGAGTATAGTTTTAAAGTGGAGTGTAATAGAATTGACTAAATTATCATATAGACTAGGTTTTATAAATGGCTAACAATATTGTAATATAGCTTTATTTTTGCTTTTATATATATATATATATATATATATATATATATATATTTATATATATATATACTTTTTATGATGTGTAGGTCAATTTTAGCTTTGAAATATATTAAGTCTTATTGGTGAAAGCAATAGACATAGTCTAGGTAAAAAAAAGTGGGCCAGCTATGAAAATTGGACTCCCTATAAGCCCTGTTGGTAATTCTAGGCCAAGAAATTCATGTTATTAAAGTGAAAAACTATTGGAAACTGGAATAGAATGTGTCCAAGAAGTTATATTGTCTCTTCTGTGGCAGTAGATAACAATATATATTGATAAAGTGAATTATTCAACACCACTCCTTATTGCCAAAGAAAGTTATCTATAGATATCACTTCCCTGAATTTGTAATCATGGAAGTGATTTCAAACCATGGATTATTATTATTTTCTATATCATTTCCTTTTCATAATATATTGCTTATGAAAATACTATACATCCAAATCTGTGTATTTAAGTATAAGGTCACCTCTTTGCATTTACATGTGTTTTGTTACCTGCGTACATTACCAGATTATTACTGTTATTTTTCAGGACAAACACAAACAACTCGGAGCTTGGTGACCGTCCAGGTGTTCTAAAGAAACGCTTGGGTCTACATCATCATTCCTTGGTTGATAAGACACAGTGCTTTAGCAGTAATGAAAGTTTAGGAGCTCCAATACCAAGTAAGTATGAAATCAAGGGCTGTGTATCGGTATCATTCAACCGTTTTCATGTTTTTTTCTTTTTTATTGTTGTAATTGTTTTTTTTTTTTTTCTTCTTCTTTTTATTCTTTTTTAGCATATTCAGGAAATGTATGTGATGCCAGAGACCTTGTTTACTGTAATGGCATCATGAATTGTTGTTTTATATTCTTGTATGGGTATTAGTAATCTTTCAAGGTAATGAAGTATCTTTTGACACTTTTCAGGTATTGGAGGAGGAAGAACCAGAAAGTTATCCAGCAGTGTGTCGGATACATCAGGGCCTCCCAGTAAAGAGGTCAAATTTATGAAGACAGGACACGATCTGCAAGTCCGAGATGAGCGAGTAGTTTTGATATCATCCCACAAGATACCTTTCCACATCTTTTCCTCACTACCATACAACAAATCTAAGCTGGGAGGGTGAGTCGCCGAAATTTTTTGTCAGAATTCCACTGAGAATGTGAATGAATGTACAAATGAATGAATGAATCATAGTGGGAATGTCATGAATGTGTGTTCACTGGAGTCTGTAGATGAGGTTTGGTCTGGTCCATGTTATGGCATGTCTGTAATATGTATGTCATGTTTGTGTATTCTTGTATGGATGATATGCTTTCTTTCAGACGAAATGACCATCATGGAAGAGGTGAAAGTGGTAGGCGACGTCATCCATCGGGGAACCGACCCCTCTCCACTATCAGTGACAGCGTAGATCCTGCTTATATTCTGGGATTAGATCGTTCTGATGAAGTTGGGGTAAGAAGAAAAAAAAGTTTTGTACATATATCTAAAGTAGTTTTATACATGCTTGGCACTTTCTCTTCTTTCCTGTAATTGTTTTTCTTCCAGTACAGGTAATTAAGATGTCTTACTTGGATTGCTGCATTGCTATATTATCAAAAGATATGAAGATTAAGTAAAATGTGACATGGAAACTTTAGTGATATGTTTAAAGATATCGTTGTGCTAATATGGCAAAATAATGTTTTCCTTCTTCTTTTCCCCACATTTTATTGGGTTGGACAGTTTAGAAGGTGATGACGTAACTTTCAAACATCTTTTTTGGAAATTACACAAAATGTACAGTATAACATATTTGATATAGGTAAATGTTGAAAAAACTGGTTAGAGGCAGGATAGACATTTAATATGCATATAGAAAATTTATAACTGATGCTTTATTGAGGAATTATTGCTTGATATAGCAAAATATCTGAAATGGTTTTGTTCTATTAAGATGGATTAGAGGCATGATGGAAACTTCATATAGATACTGAAAAGTATATCCATTATGACCACATTGTCTCACAAGGAATCACTGCTTCTTTTCTCACTTTAATAACATTTAACACTTTTCTTGTTGATGTTACTACTGAATGAGGGGCAGTAAATCATATTGTTTGATTTATAATTCATTGCATGATATTTTTACATACTCCTACACCTCTATATAATTTGTTTTGTCCTGATTATTTTTTATTTCTGATATGATTGCATTCCCACTTTGTTTAGTCTTTGGGTATGATTTTTTTTTTTTTTTTTTTACTTCTTTCTGGCACTTCTAAGTTAGGAAGTGGGTAAGAGATCAGGGAAAATATAAGAGAGTCCTACATATTAAGCTTGTAAAAGAGTTTAATAGATATTTATATCATAGGCAATACTATCTCTGATAAAAAGGTGCTCACAGGGATTCTGATTTTTTCTTTTCTTTTCTTTTTGTAGTGACTTATCTAGTGAGTAATACTAAGGAAGTAATGTTTTACATAGATATCAGAAGATTAGAGATTAGAAATTAAGATTGTAAGGCTGATTATCAGATTTTACATCTTGATATGATAACTATTGTGTTAAGCAAGGTTGCATAATTTGTTTTCCTTTATGTGATTCAGTATCCATTATTATGATTTTGTAGTTTGTACACATGAGTTTTATCAAGAAAGATTTGATTATCCCTGTTTCTCAACAGGAGGTGTCATACAGTGAACTTCTGGTTCCATCTCGGAGTTTCTTCTGCAAGCCTCGACGTCAGCAGTCAGAGCACATAGAACTTGGTGACCCAACGGAGCGCTGCATGCATCCAGGAGTTGCTAGGTGTTTTAGCTATGAACCAGCAACACATAAGGCCACTGCACATTATATTCCACACTCACCTCATGGACATTATGACAAAGGTACAGTGGGAATGTCTTTATATGTTTTTGTTCTAAGGATCTGAGGTCTGTGCTTGCACTGTTTTTGAGTGTAGTTTGGTTAACCTATTTCAGTAACCAAGTGTAGTTTACAAGTAATTTGCCAGTTTGGATGGTATTTCAGAAGTCTTTGAATGAGTCAGTCACAGTGGTTTGTTATTGATATTATTTAAGATTATTATTTAGTTGAAGTGATAAGCAAAAGTAGATTATTGACAGTTAATGATATGAAAAGTCAACATATGTTCTCAGTAAGTATGACTTTAGTTATGTGAATAGTTCTCAACAGATGCTGCTTCAAAATTAGTGGGAAAAGATATGTATAGGCTTCGAGTCTGTGGCTAACATAGTCTTATTCATTAAGACTCTGTTTGATAAATTAACTCCTTGTCTTTACAAAGAGTGGATTAGTTAGTTGAATAATGTTGACCTTTGTTTTTTGACACTGTGACAGAGGTCATAGACTTAATATCTCTTGCAGTATACAGGAAGAGGTATGTTGTTAGCTTTGTGTTATAATCCTTCCCTTGACCATAGGTACAGCAGAATCCATTAAACATGTCAGTATCACAGTTGGGTCAGAGTATATGGAATGTTTATTGCTAATCATATTTTGACTTTCAGTTAACTGGAAAGAAATGTAAATGAAGTGATGAAGAGATTTCTGCTGTATCTTCCCATATTGAAATGAACTGATATTTAATTTTTAGAGAATAACTGTGTTACTGCCATAAATCAAGGTTATGATTTAGAGTACTGCAGCTATATGCTTCGTTTTTTTATAATTTGCAGTCTAGGTTTTCTTTTAGTCAATTAATTTTAAAATTTGGCTCTTTTTTTATTTTGACTAGACAAGCTGCAATGGCTTCTTTTTAGCCTGCTTTATAAGATTGCAATACAGCCAGGATATGGCATCTGCCCTGTTATTCTCGAAATATTAATTGTTGTAGGAGAACCTGACTAGCCAAGTACTAACTGTTACAGGTGTGGTGTCTGGCTCTTCTACCATGGCCGGCTCTTTGACCTTGTTGAGAGCATTAGAGACGGGTGAACACATGAGTAGAAAGGGTACCAAAAGTTGTTGGTTTTTGAACTGAATGTCTTATGTGGAGAGTTCCTGTGCTTGTAAATCTCACATCCTTCTCTCATTTACGCTTCTCTGTCCCCACCGTACTGAGGACTATACTAAGGACTACTCCTTCCTAACATGATTTAGTTCTGACCTGTGGCCTCATCGGGAACTCTTGAACACTTAGCTGACTGGATTGCTAATGCTCACGGCTTCTAAGGTGGACTTTGCATGGAGTATCATATAACACTGTAAACCTAAAGCATTGGATGGATATTTCACACTTTTCACTTTTTTCTCTTGAGTCTGTTATATGTTTCGAGATTTTTTTTTTCTATGGTTATTGGAAAGTTCTTGGAGTTACTTGGATGTTTTATTTTGTGTTTTCAATAGTGTGTTTTCCTTTTTTTTTTTCATGTTTCTTTTTTTTCATGTAAACTGCATCTAATGTAAAGTAAAGCATTTTTAATTCATAGAAATGGACTTCCAAAGTGTTACATTTTGATGCAATTATATGTTTATATTCTATCTCTAAACATTAGTGGATTTGTATGATTATACAGGAAAATTTACACACACACACACACACACACACACACACACACACACACACACACACACACACACACACACACACACACACACACACACACACACACACACACACACACACACACACACACACACACACACACACACACACACACACACACACATATACACACACACACACACACACACATATACACACACACATATACACACACACACACACACATATACACACACACACACACACATATACACACACACACATATACACACACAGATATATATACACAAGCACATACATGCATACATACATACGTACATACATACATACATACATACATACATACATACATACATACATACATACATACATACATACATACATACATACATACATACATACATACAATACTCACACACATGCATATATACATACACATACATATATGCATACATATATACATATATATGTACATGCACTTGTGCTTACACTTAAATATACATATGTATGAAATTAATTAATCTTCAGTTATCAAACTCATAAAAACAGTTTTGTTTTAAGATAAGATGATGATTATTATTTGAATGATTTACTATGCATTCATCTTTATTTTTCATGACAAAGAAGATATCATCATTTTATATGAAATCTAAGCATGTCAAAGAAAGAATCATGTAATGAGCTTTAGCTAGGCATGTGTAATATACAGCTTGTCGGCTGTATCCAATGCTATTATTTTTTTTTTTTTATTATCGTTGTTTATTTATCTGAAAAAGCTGGTTCTCAAAAAAGAAAGAAAAGAAAAGGAAGAAGATAAATCCATTGAAGATTAAATCTAAAATGAGTGACAGCAAAACTTGAGGAGTTATATATATATGTTATATATATCTTCTACATCAAAACGGGAAGCTGTTGCAGTTATATCAGTAACAATTTGTTGCTTATCGAAAGTAGTTTGAGAAGGGATTCGTATGTCACGTTTAGGTAGCTATTTGTTCATTAGGTTGAGTCTAAACACAAAATGATGGATTCCAGGTCTTGGTTTATGATTTGCTAGAAAATTGGAGACATTAGGCTTGCGTGTGTTTAAGATCAGTATTTAGGGAGATGTGGATGTGATTGTGGATTGTGTAACAATGGGAATGAGGGAGTGAATTAGTGTGCAAGAAGCTATGTGGGAGTAAGTTTACGACTGTGAGAGTTTGTGAGCTTGTAAAAGTGAGTCTCCGAGCTTATAGGTGTGTGCAAGCATGGGTGTATGTGTGCTCGTGTGTGTGTGTGTGAATGTAAGCTTGCATGTGTGCATAAGTGGGCAGGTGTGTCTGTGTTTGTTATTTTGTGTAAGTTTGTGAAGGTGTACATGTATGTATGTGTTTGTGTTTGAGTCTGTATATATGAGTGTTTTACTCAAGTATTATTATGGTTGTATTTCTGTATGCATCATGCACTTACTTGTCTGTCTGTTGGCCTGTCTGTCAAGTTCCCTCCATCTGTTCATATGTGTCTTTGTGTGTGAATCTGTATGTATGTGGACATGTGCATCAACAGGAAATATTGATTTTGTTACACATACAGTGAATATTGATAGTTTTAGCAAGGATAAGGTAGAAAAGAATATTTAAGAGGAACCAAAATAATCTGTAGATTATATATAGGAGACTCATATCTAGTATGATTATCAGAAGCCTTTACTTTTTCTTTCATTGATGTTTCCATTGACCCTTTGATGATTAACCTAAATCAATCTGATTGTGTTTATAAAGGAAAGTTTTCACATTGGGAAGCATGTGACTAATGAAGATTGCTGTGTTTTGATAAGATTTCTAAAGCGTTGAGTAAATATTAAGAGAATATATATGTTGGAATTTTTAAAG